TTTGGACGCCATTTTGTGTTATAATCGGGGCCACCATTCTGATTTCACATAACTTCTTTTTTTGAAAATTATGTGTGAAATATCATTTGAAAGTAATGACATTTTACTGAATTTAAGGAAGAATGGTTAAAAGTATCTTATATATTCAGAAAATAAAATAAAAACTGGGGGTCTATGATTACTAAAATAGTGCTAATTTTAAGCCTAAAATAGGGTTATTTATTTTCTTGATTTTTACAATATATTTGCTATATTTATCATATATGATGATAGAATTCATGACATTTTATTTAATATATAATTTAAGACCAGTATAAAACAGTTCACTGCACAAAATAACTCTGTGTGCAGACTGCATGTAAAAATAGGAATCCAAACTTAACATACTTTAAATACTTTGAAAGAGGAAAAAAATGATCATTTTCTTCTAAAAAACCTTCTGCCACAAAATATAGTTCCTCACTCAATGCTTTTGGTATGGAATTTATTCATGGAGTTTTAACTGAATATAGTTTAATTGGCATTGTAGAATCCAAAATTATTGTAAGAATTAAAACTTTATGCAGAATTTTTTAAATACAGGTTAAGATATAAATCTGCTCGAAAGCTCAGGAGCGAACCTAAAATCTTAATGTAACTGGCACTCTACATTCCCAAACATCGAAAGGAAGTGTCACTACATGAACCCTGTAAAATATACACATCATGTTTACATACTATGTGTATAGTAAATTAAACAATAAGCACATGTCTTTTGAGCATCTTGGAGGCTATTATTTATATGAAATTTCAAGCCTGATTTGTAAATGTGACACTATTCTTTACTGCTACTACTTTACTATCAGTTATAGTTTAAAACGAATTTCAAAAATATCTGTTTTTATTTCATTTTTTTTTCTCTTTTGTTTATTTACCTATTATGATTGAGCTGAAGACTTCAAATCAGCCCTTTGTGAAGAACTGCACATGATACCAAAATTTCTGCAGTGTAAGCTATAAAGGTCACCTAGTACAAACACCTGTGTCACTAAAGAACACTGTGGAAATCAACATCGTTTTGCATACAAAGAAAAACAAAGTCTATTTTAAAATATCACCAGACTACTGGATATAAATTCTCACTCTATATATAAGTAAATTTAAACATCCCTAACATTTTGTATTTCACCAGAGAGAGAGAGAGAGAGAGAGAGAGAGATGCCTTAGTTTGGATATCATTTAATAGACAGTAACACAAGGTATTAATGATTTAATACACTTTTTATACCCCCAGCAAACAAAGTTTAGCGGGGTTATATTGGAATCACCATGTCCGTCTGTCTGTCATTCTGTCTGTAGACAAGATTTTGTCCAGAGCATTTCTTGGAAACTATTGCATAGATTTGTCTGAAAAATTGTACACTTATTATTCACCATATGAAGGTGTGCACCTGGTATTTTCATCATGAATTAATAATTTTTCTGCATTTTACAGGTGGTTTTTTTTTATTTTCATTATGGTTTTGTCCGGCCCTTTTCTCAAAGACTATTTCAAAGAATTGTATGAAAATTTGTACACTCATTATTTACCATATGAAGATATGCACCTGTTATTTTCAACATTATTTGATAATTTTTCTGCATTTTGCAGGGTTTTTTTTTTCATCTTTATATTTTTATTGACTTAGTCATTTTGGGTTTATTTCTAAGGTTTGAGACATAGAATCTAGAACATCTGTACAAAAATGTGAACTACAGCTTAAAACTATTCATTAAGACAAAAAAAAAATCACCAAGTATTAAAAACAATTTTTACATTACACAGCAGATAGTGTAAATCCATTTGTCCCTTGGGAGTAATGAGTGGACATGCATCCAGTTAGAGATAAATTAATGAGTTCAGTGTGGGAAGTTGTTAGGGCATCTCTGATCAAGCATGTGTTATCTATACCTCCTGGGAATTTAAAGATCTCTGTTCTTTAATTCTCTTAATTGTAATTTCTTGTCTTTCATAGTTCATAGCTACTGGATGACCAGCCTTTCATTTTTAAAATGAATTTGATATAAATTTATCAAGATTAATTTGATTTTGTAATTAATTGATATTTTTCAACAATCAATTTGCAGAATGTCATGTCTCAAAAAGATGACAGATAGTTGCAATTTATTTTTTCAATGTATTAAAAAACAATGTAATTACAATGTATTGGTATTGGTGTTTTATTAGGTTGTTCCTTGGTTTCATTCATTAAAAAAATATAATGAGCAATTATTTTTTCACTCTAAATGTTAATAAAAAAATTGTGAAAACCTCTTAGATCCATAAAATATTAGTGATTTGGCACCTCTGAAAAAGCCAGCAGGGGGTATTTGTCCCTTTTGGACAGTTCTAGTTTCTGTTAAACAGGGCAATTCAGATGGTCAAAATATTGGTATTTATAATTATACTGTGTTTATAAGACACCCCCCTTTCTTTGTCTCATAACATGTAAAATAAAATTACTAAGAGCCCTGTAGGGTAGAGGGGGTTTTTAAAGGACAAAAATGAATCTTTTATTTGCCATGAAAAATTTAATTGAATTGAATTGATAATTATATATATTTTTCTGGCATTTGATTGTAACAATGTTACCCCCCCCCCCCCCTTTTTTCTTCCCCCAACACAGTACACATTATGCTTGCATTAATTGAAATCTTAAGTATAATATAATTAATAATTAAATGAACAAATTGTTGAATAATAATTATAATAAAAAGAAATGGTGGATAAAAAGTGGTTTTTATTACTAAACCCCACCCCCCTTCACACACACACACACACACACACACACACACAAATCACACATCCTAAATGTCATGATATAATTGTATTACTATAAAAGTATAATTTTAATCATTATAAATTATTGATTCACTTGTTTGAGTTTTCATTTTTCTATGATTGAAAAACATGATTGTATTGTCGCCCGCGTGGCGCAGTGGTTAGAGCATCTGCTCTAGAGTCACGGAGTAAGGAGTTGATCCTTACGTTGCGGGTTCGAATCCCACTGTGGGACGTGGACACCAATTTTAAAACTGATGTTAAAACAAATAGGTGCATATGTTGAAAAAAAAATCGGTTTTAAGTTACACAGAAGCAATAAATGTGACAGTCCAATTTAGCTTAGAAGTTACATTGAAAAATGACAAAGTCTTGAATTAAGTTTTAGTTAAATTCAAACATGACTGTCAATTTTAGATACAAAAAAGTTGTATATTCTAAAAGTTTACTCATCCTCAAGGTACAAAATTTAAAGAAAAGATATATGGAAAAGTTATATTTTTGGTATGGGTAAGTAAACTAAAATTCTGTGAAATAACTAAGTCTTTTATAGGTACTAATCAGGAACATTGAAAAATGACATAGTCCAATGTAGGTATATTTCAGGCACACTAGAAAATGACTAAGAAAATGACTAAGTCCAATGTAGGTACAATGGAAAATATTCAAGTCCAATATAGGTACATTTCAGGCACACTGAAAAATGACAAAGTCCAAAGTAGGTACATTTTAGGTACACTGGAAAAAAAAATTAAGTTCATTATTGGCACAGAATAGGTATGCCTTTTCTGTACCTATATTAGTGGGCACACTTTAGGCACTGAATTGGCACAAAAAGGCACATGCCTATATGTACCTTTTTTTGTATGTTCAATTTTAATACAGAAAAAATACACTGATAAAAAAAAACTAAGTCCACAAAAATACAAAAATCTAAGTCCCCCAAAATACAAAAACAATACCCTGTAAAAAATCAAAGTCAGATTTTAATACAAAAATAAGCTACCTATTTTTGGTGATACAAAAATAATAAATTTTTTCTGTATTAATTCTAAAAAGTACAAAAATGATTGTATTAATAATATATTAAAAATATACTTTTATGTATTTTTTTTTTTTTTTTGATATGGGTACGTTTATTTTAACCCTGCTTCTCTCATTTTGTTTGGCTAGGACTTCAGCCAGTGTAAACAAGGAAGAAAACATGGATCGCTTAATGAGTTTATATCATTTAATCATATAATAAAATAATTTTTCAGTCTGTACAATGATTTAACTACCGTCAAAGTATCATATTCGATTTTTTTATATACAGTAAAACTTGTCTTATCCGGACACCACTGGTTCCGAAAAAGTTTGCCAGATTAGAAAACATTCTGGATTGCACAACATTTTAAACAAAGGAATTTACTGAAAAAGGACTGAGAATTTACATGGTATTAGACAAGATTACGGATTATACAACATCCAGATTAGACACGTTTCACTGTATTGTGTAAAATCATTTGAAAAATCACATTTCTCAAAATCTATGTGGGTGATGCATGTGCTTTTTATTATCTGAGAGAAAATTCCACCGAAAATTGATGTCTTAAAAAAATTCTGCAACTTTTTAAGAAAAAAAAGGGAAAATGCACAAGTTCATGATGTCACAATTAGCATTTTGGAGGTCTTGTGAGAAAAACAATTTGTATGTTCTTATTACTTGGAATTTCAATGATTCAGAAAGAATGAGTTTAAATTTTCTTACATCACTTTCATATCTTAGAAAAATACAGGGCCATATTTGTATTGAAACCATATTTTGTTCTTTTCTGTGAAATTCATTCTGCTAATTAATACCTCTGCATGCACTAAACAAACAAGGAGGCATTATCTGTTTGTAATGAATAAACAAGCCTGATCTACTTATCACGAGTGGCAAAATAAGGTGGTTGGGAAATTGGAAATTTTTTTAAATCGGGATTTTAGGGTAGTTTGCTTTCCTGATCAGGAAAGCAGGATTGAACTGTAAAATCAGGAAGATCCCACTTAAATCGGGGAAGTTATTGGTATGTATGTATTTCTGTGCCATTTCCACCCAATTGTTATTTTCACACTCGTGGACTTTCACATATTTGAAACATGTTGGGGGGATTCATATCTCCAGTTCTAGTTCTTATATTTAATGTTTAATCTAATTTGGAAATGATTGTTTCAGAGGAACGGCAGAAAATTGTTGAATTTTTTGTAATCAACACTGAACTAAGACAGCTGGTGGCTGAGGACCATCTCAGAAGGATTCCTGACTTCCAAAGATTAGCTCGAAAATTTCAGCAAAGAAAGGCCTCACTTCAAGTAATGTTTTTGTTTTGTTTGTTAATACCCTTGGCATCCATGTCCCAAATTAAGGATTTAAGAACAGTTTTCTTTATAGTATTTCTATGCCCTATATTGATTCTAAGTGCATGGCTGATGCATCTAGTATGTGTTACTGTACCATTCGGGTTTCAGACGGTGTATTTTCAGGCAATATTTTCCATGAGAATGACCAGGTTACTGTCAATCACTTATCACCCCAAGCATGTTACGACAATGTGCTAACTATGCACTCCAAGCACGTTTGTATTTTTATGTAAACGAGTAATCACAAGTGCAATCATTGTCACACACGTGTAAAAATTGATATCAGGTAATTAAGAGGTAGTGTAAACATTTATTGTTAAATAATTTAATTTTGTTTGTATTCTAGCCTCTGATTGGTTAATATCCAAAAAGGAACACAAATTATTTCTGTATAACCTGGTTTGGTATGGGGACACCCCCCCCCCCGACAACCAGCTGAATCATCTGTATCCATACAATCCTCTCATTTCCAGTCCTCGGGATTCATGGAAAATTCCAGATTTAATAAATGTACCTTTAACTTCAAACAATAATTCGATCTTACCACATGTAAACAAACAACAAGGCTGCTAGGCCTATGCATCGGTTTTTACCTCCCCTCGCTTCCCATCACTTCCGTTACTTCCGTTACTATGGTTGTATTATTGAGCGGCAAATTTGAACTAGTAAAAAGCAACGAAATTTTACACCCATAGTTATTTAATGATTTTAAAATTAAATTATAAGGAATGACTCTAATTCTTGGCCAAATTATTCGAGTATAACCTGGTTTGGGTCAGTTTACGCTGTTTTATAATCCGCTTTGCGGATTATAAAGCGTAAACTGACCCAAACCAGGTTATACTCGAATAATTTGGCCAAGAATTAGAGTCATTCCTAAAATAAACTTTATTGTTAATGAGTGTGTTGGTTTAAATGGCAGATGATTGGAAACCAACTTACCGGATATTGTTAAACAAACACGACCTTGATTTGGGTCGATTGAAGTTAATTTAGCAGTGATGACATCCTGATTAGAAAAAGATAAAATAAGTTTTTGAATATATAGACCTATGTATTTTTTTTATTCAAAATAATATCAACTAAATAGATTTATTAAGGTCTTCCATTTCAGAAGGAAGACCTTATAGTGATTCTACTGTTTCTTCTTTTTAGGGTCTTCCGTCTTCAGCGGAAGACCCTTCTATTTTTGTACTGTTTCTTTTTCTTATTAGGGTCTTCCGTCTTCAGCGGAAGACCCTTCTATTATTCTTATGTTTCTTTTTCAAGCTTCTTATTAGGGTCTTCCGTCTTCAGCGGAAGACCCTTCTATTATTCTTACGTTTCTTTTTTACCTTTATTATTATTATTATTATTAGGGTCTTCCGTCTTCAGCGGAAGACCCTTCTATTATTCTTAGGTTTCTTTTTTACCTTTATTATTATTATTAGGGTCTTCCGTCTCCAACGGAAGACCCTTCTATTATTGTATTGTTTCTTTTTCACTTTTATTAGGGTCTTCCGTCTTCAGCGGAAGACCCTTCTATTATTCTTATGTTTCTTTTTCAATTTTCTTATTATTATTCTTTTTTTCTGCACAAATTTTGTGCAGACGATTTCTCAGAGATGGGTTGATGGATTTGCATCAAATTTTCAGGGTTGGTGCTAAGTTATCTGAAGTTAATTCCGGCTAAATATTTTTTTGACAATCACTTCCGGTCGAAAGTTATCGCCCTTTTAATAAAATTCAGAGGACCTCCTTGTCTGTGATGGAACTCAAAAACGGCTTAAGCTAGAACGCTGAAATTTTCAGTGATGATAGAGGACATGTTGCCTTTATGCACCTGGGTTTAGATATTTTCCGGAAGTGTCTAGTATGGAAGCTCGGTAGGGGTCAAAATTTAGGACACGAATCATGAGTGAATTTTTGAGACATTTTGTGTCATATCTTTTAAAGTATAATTATTTTGTTAAAACATACTGAACAATATTTGTGCAGAATGATAAGATCTTTAACATGATATCAAGAAAAAAGGGCTGATTCATCAAATTAGGGGCCGAGAGGGTCTAAAAGTAATAAATAAATAACTCTTTAACAATCAATATTTTGGAATACATTACTGAAGCAAAAATGTTTATCTTAACAATTTACAACTATATATTATAATATTTATGTCATATGTTACATAATTAGGGGCCATAAGGGGCCAGAATGCCAAATCTTTGGCATTCTATATCTCACAAGTGAGAAATATTTTGATAAGCAATATTGAACAAAAGATGTCCAAAATAAGGTTCTAAACAAGATGCAACCTTTCATTTTTTGCTAAACGTCCCCATTAAGGAGTTGAAGGGCCGGCCCCTAAATACTCCTTTTGAAAATATCTCAGAAACGAAAAAGAATTTCTGACTAGTTGTTGAACAAAAAGTGTTCAAAATCATGAGAGCTTTAAAGTGATATGAAGAAAAAGGGGCTGGACCCTCACAATAGGGGCTGAGAGGGGCCCAAAGTCTTTGAACAATAACTCTTTAACGATCAATATTTTGTAATGCATTACTGAAGCAAAAATGTTTATCTCAACAATGTACGACTATATATTATAATATTCACATCATATGTTACATAATTAGGGGCCATAAGGGGCCAGAATGCTAAATCTTTGACGCTTTATATCTCAAAAGTGGGAAATATTTTGATAAGCAATATTGAATAAAAGATGTTCAAAGTAATGTTCTAAACAAGATGCAACCTTTCATTTTTTGCTAAACGTCCCCATTAAGGAGTTGAAGGGCCGGCCCCTAAATACTTCTTTTGCAAATATCTCAGAAACGAAAAACAATTTCTGACTAGTTGTTGAAGAAAAAGTGTAAAAAAAATTATGAGAGTTTTAAGGTGATATCAAGGAAAAGGGTTTGACCCCTTAAATAAGGGGCCGAGAGGCGCCGAAAGTATAAAATCAATAACTCTTTAATGATCAATATTTTGTGATATATTACTGAGGCGAAATAGTTCTTCTTCACACACTTTATCTAAATAACATGATGTTGATATCATATGTTACGAAATAAGGGGTCTTTAGGGGGCCAAATTGCATAATTTTTGGCGCAACATGTCTTGAAAAGGAAGAATATTTTGATAAACAGTATTGAACAAAAGACGTTCAAAATAATATTCTGAACAATATGCACTCTTTGAATTTTTGCTAGACGTCCCCATTTAGGACTTGAAGGGCCGGCCCTTAATATTTCTTTCGAAATATATATATTCCGAAAACAAAAAAGAATTTCTGAATAGTTGTTGAACAAAAAGTGTTCAAAATCATGAGAGCTTTAAGATGATATCAAGAAAAAGGGGCTGACCTCTCACATTAAGGGCCAAGAAGGGCCGAAAAGTCTTTAATCTATAACCCTTTAATGATCAATATTTTGTTAAACATTATTAAAGCAAAATTGTTCGTCTTAACAATTTATTTATATCATTATATTTGAACGAAAATCCCAGTCAAATTTTATCTCATCTTCTCAAAAATCGGACGGAAGACCCACTCGTTGCTCGCAACGAGATCTCATCTAGTTAAGGTCTTCCGTCTCCAACGGAAGACCTTATTGTTTTCGTTCGGTTTCTTTTTCCCTATTATTATTATTATTATTATTATTCTTACCGATTTTGTGCACGCGAGTTCTCGAAAACGTCTTGGCCGATTTTCGTGAAATTTTCAGATCTGATAGGTATTGATCTGAACCTTATTGGAAATTTTTTCCGTTGATGACGTCACTTTCTATCTCGAGATATTTAGGATTTTCTGAATTTTAGAGGGTCGGCTTGTCCTGGAAACTCCTCCGAAACGACTTAAGATATTGATTTAAGATTTTCAGTGAAGGTAGGGGAAGGTTGGTAGATTTGCAGGCAGGTGTCCAAATCTCTCTAGCTTAAAAGGCGCCGAAGCTCGGTAGGGCTCAAAAAATGTCTCAGCAACATCTCACAAAATTTTACACCTTTTCTTTCATATCTTCATACCTGTTAAGAATTTGTTAAAACATATAGAAGAAAAGTTGTGCAGAATGACACGACCTTTCATTTGATATCAAGGAAAAGGGGCTGACCCCTCATATTAGGGGCTCAGAAGGGCCAAAAGTCTTTCATCTATAACTCTTTAACGATCAATAATTTGTAATACATTATTGAAGCAAAGATGCTTATCTTAACGATTTACAACAATATATGATAAGATTTTGATCATATGTTACATAATAAGGGGTCATAAGGGGCCAGAATGCTAAATCTTTGACGCTTTATATCTCGAAAATGGGGAACATTTTGATAAGCAATACTGAACAAAAGATGGTCAGAATAATGTTCTAAACAATATGCACCCTTTCAATTTTTGTCAAACGGCCCCATTAAGGACTTGGAGGGGTGGCCTCTAAATATTTCCATTCAGCATATCTCCACAACGAAAAGAAATCTCTGAATAGTTGTTGAACAAAAAGTCTTCAAAATCACAAGATCTTTTATTTGATATCAAGAAAAAGGGGGCTGACCCCTCAAATTTGGGGCTTAGAGGGGCCAAAATTCTTTCACCTCTAATTCTTTAACGATCAGTAACTTGTAATACATTACTGAAGCAAAGATGTTTATCTTAACGATTGACAACAATATATGATAAGATTCTGATCATATGTTACGTAATAAGGGGTCACAAGGGGCCAGAATGCTAAATCTTTGATGCTTTATATCTCGAAAAGGGGGAATATATTGATAAGCAATACTGAACAAAAGATGGTCAGAATAATGTTCTAAACAATATGCACCCTTTCAATTTTTGTCAAACGGCCCCATGAAGGACTTGGAGGGGTGGCCCCTAAATATTTCCATTCAGTATATCTCCATAACGAAAAGAAATCTCTGAATAGTTGTTGAACAAAAAGTCTTCAAAATCACAAGATCTTTCATTTGATATCAAGAAAAAGGGT